GTATTTTGTGTGCTCTGATAATTCGATAAGTGCACATTTCCAGATAGATAAGAGAGTACAAGAGAAAAAATGTTGATGATGATGACGAAAATGATAAATAATGACAATGAGGAAGATTATTACGATAATAATGGTGATGATGATGATAATACCATCATCATATTCCTATAAAACAATCACAAAATTGTTTCTACCACTTACAAATTCTAGATACTCTACAACAAGTAAAACATATGACAATAAACATAAACAAATTATTTCATTTTTATACTAAAATTATTTTTCTTCTTATTAAAATTATTAATAATTTTATTTTGTTTTTGTATAGCGCCCTACACTTGTGTCTTGCAAACATCTACGCTGCTGGCGACTGCTCAAAAAAAGTCACAGACATGTCTAAAATTACAGAAATTTGGGAAAAAAAAGATGTGTTTTCTGAAGAAGTGTGGAACGATGCTTGGGTGAAGAACTAGCTTAGAGGGTAACTGTGCTTGCTTTCTAAAATCAGAATTCTGAGTTCAATCCCTATAAATGACAGAGTGTATCTCAACATGAAGAACAACTCAACACATGAAGAACAACTCAACTTGTTAAGCCTCATAAAATGACATAATTTATAGAGCATTCCACCCTCTAATATGTGAATTTACTGCACACACTGTTCCAGTGTAATAGCATTCTCTCAAGGGAGGTGTTAAATTTGTATCATTAATTTCTATGCTTTTTTTAAAAGGACTGATCAGGGGAAGTTTAGGAGCAGCTACAAAATTGTGGATATTTAAAAAAGTATACATAAAAAATTGAAAAAAAAAAGCCACACTTATGTATATTTGGCTACAACACTAACCACTAATGCTGTTACTACAACAAATTATAGAATATGGAAACATATTGATGAAAGATTACTTAACAAAAAACACAAGGGCAGGAAAAGACCAGAAATATGAAAGAATTAAATAAAAATTATACATTAAAAAAAAAGTAAATAAAAAATTAATCCAAATTAAAAATTTGGTAGTATTAACATGTTTCAAAAAATTGAACAATATTCACTACAACACAACTATAAATTTTACCTGTTGGAGAAAAATGAATGACTAAAGTACTGAAGATGAAGAGAAAATGAGTGAGAAAGACAAGAATAACAACATGCCAAAAACATCGCATGCACACAAGCAAAAAAACCATTGCCACATTCTGACGAAAGTACAATTTACATGAATTTGGCTGGGCAGGTGGAGGAGGAGGAGGAGTTTCCAGGGAGTAACTGCTGGTTGGCTCAAGGTACATTGAATGACACTGGTTCGAAAGCAAACCTCGACGACGCCGTCTCGCTGCTTGATAACAGTGTGGAAGAAAATGAAAAAGAAGTTGAAAGGAAAAAGAATGAGAGACGATATCAGTTAGAAAAAAAAAATCAAAGCATTAGCATAGACATATAACATTTGAATGCAATTTTGATACCATATATACTGTATCAAAATCTAATAACCACATGTCGGAGAGGGGGAGGGAAGCATTCTATATGTTGGTTTAAATTCTTAATACGATGATAGGACCCTGAAAATACATCCACACCCAATATAATATAGCTGACGGTATAATTATATAATTTATATTTAAGTATTTTAAATAAAATATGCACAGACAGCGCAGAATGTTCTAGGTTTTAATTCCATTTTCTTTTTACACTTGCAGATTCCTCTTCTTTAATGTTCAAAATTTATACATACATGATTATATTACCTTTTACATTATTTAGATTATTATTTATTGTATAGTGAATGTAAAGGCCTGAATTTATTATTAATATACTATTTTATTATTATTGATTTATATATTTTTATTTTATTGGCTATTATGTAGTATATATCGCATACATATTATATGTATACTGTATTATTTATTGGAGAACACTACACAATTACAACATCATATAAATAATTATTAATATGCATTAATTTCTACTTCCTGGCTGATCGATAATAGCATTAATAATCTTTCATTCCAAATATTTATTTTCCTACTTTTAGTTTATTTGTAATTTTGCTTATCATATCTTTTTTCCTCTTTTAATATAATTAGTTATATTTAGTACTCTTTTTCTTTTTTTTTTTTTGTCAAATTTGCATTTTCTTTTTCATGTAAACAACACTATATAATGATTATTTAAACAATGATAAAATAAAGAAGACAAGTATGAGCACTAGTAATATTACATGTTCACAATGGATGTTCAGAGCATTTAGAATAAAAAAGAAACAACACGTTAGTAGATATATTGTCATTTTCAAAGACAACTATTCATTCATCAAGTGTCACATAATACATTATGAAATGCACAAATCCATTATAAAAGATAGAGCTGAAAATAAAACTTTTGACCGTAATGCATGAAATGACCTAAGATGACCTCATGACATGAACTTACAACATGACCTATTTATATGACATGACCTAAATAGCATGCATAACATTAAACAACCTTTTTTATTCATAATTTAAACAAAACATAATAACTAAGCAGAGTAATTAATAAATCACAGTTCCATTTTGATCCCACTTTCATATAACAAAGATGATTAAAAAAATACATTAATTAAACAAGTGCATAAAAACATGTGACAAGTCCCCTCTGATAGTCAGATGCATTGTGGGAAGGTAAATAATCCAATTATTGTATTTTGACTTTAATTTGTGATTAGAATATGTGACCTATTAGCTTAAAAGTAGATCTAGTTCACTTTCAAAACCTATAAATAAAGCAGCAATTAACATTAGAGCAGTGTGGTATACAAATGATTAAAATAAAAAATTAAAAATCTGTTGCTTTTAAGCATTAAAAAATGATTCTGAGCCCAAACATAAATAAGCAAAAGCCAGAAATGGACTTAATGTTAAAGCTTTATAATACCAAGTACATGATGCTCCCTCCCCATAATGCATCTCTGAGTGATTACTAAAAAATAATAGTACTAAATTTGCAATAAAAATGTTAAAATATTCATAAGAGCAGAAAGCAGTGAGTGTTACCTAAGTTCTCTCTAGATGTGGATTTTGACCGTGATATTCTTGATGCTACCGTGCCCGAGACGCTTGTGTTCCTCTGTGTGTGTCTGGACCGAGCACGAGAAGCGGCGCCTGTGTTGACGTCGCTATTAGAACGAGGACCCAGCACCAGTGCATTCCCATCTGCAGCGAAGAAAGCGCAAAAAACCCACGCAAACATGTTGATGAAAAGTCTTGGTAATCAGATTGAGAACACTCTCCATTTTCTCTCACAAATTCATCATTCAATTTGAATATTTGCTCCAATAATATCTGTTTAAACTTTTACGTAATCTGTCAAACTTTTTCTTAATGTTCTCAATTTGTTCAGCACAAGACCATGCAGGCTACGTAACATTCAATATTCTACAAACTGATATCAAATACTACTTAGCTGTACAGTTTATGAGTTCCATATTTAAAAGAGGACCAATCAAAAGGTGTGTTTAATAATAGTAGAGTGCTAACTAGAAAGATGGAGGAATGCCGTTGCATATATTTACACAAAAAATGAGCACCACATTTAGAGTGTCATCATGCCTGGATAGACAGCATTACATTGTAGTGGTTTCATGCAGCTTTTCCTTGAGTATCTATTTCAAAAAGAAGCACTCTACAGACTACATTGGAAAGATTTTTGCTAGGGAGGGGAAGGTGATATGTTTTTTTAACACAGAACGACTAGCAGATGTGTTTCGTAGGATCTTGAAGGACAATAGTCACCTACTCAACTCTGATGTTGTTGGTTTTCATATCGATAAAAGTATGAAAATTAGGATTGTGGATGCACAAACCCTTTGCTGGGACCAAAAATTCCTTCATCAGAATCCAAGATAATGTACACTTGCTCTACTGTATACATACTGTTTTTAAATGTTTAAACAGAGTTTAATACAATATTATTTTATTGTGGATTAACCAACTAATTACAAATTCTTGAATCGAATTGACATTATAATACAAATTAATTATATGTAAATTTTATCAGAACATTTTAGCAAATTGTTTTAATTTCAATTTTTCAGTTTTTGAAGATAAAATGTTTTTGTTTACAGCCAAAGTGCAATATTAAAATTTGAGGTTGATGATGAAAATTCAACATCAATACGAAACAAAGATTAATACGATGATATTCCACGTTATCCAGTGAATACAGTTTGAAATGGAAATTGATATGACTAATTAAAAATGGTGTCTCACATGTCATAATGTGAGGTAGAATAATTAACACACACCTTTTGATTGATAAATATTACAATTATTCTTCAAAACCAATCTCAATTCCACAGCAAAAAAGCAAATTTGCATATAGGAGGTGAAAGGTTACTAAAATTTCATGCAGTGCCAGTAAACTAAATGGAAAGGTCAAAGGTCAGTGGATGTATGTGCAAGAGGAGGGTCACATGATTGGTGCATGAACAATGAAGAGGATTTTTTTAAAAGCTATTTAGCCTGTAGTTTATCAACACATTTTAATTGCTAGTATTCTCTCCATAGGAAAGGAATAACAGGAAAGGCACATCGCAACATTTAATATCATGTTATTATGGACAAACATACAGACCGTAAATACACTTCATTGACAATTTGACATGAAAACATGAAGCGTTGTGTTGGATAGTAAGGGAAAAGGTTCTGAAAGCATCAAGCTTGTGATTGGTCAACACTATATGTGATGGACCATTCAATGTGTAGGGGTTCACATACTCAGTGAGAAATATTCAGATATTCTTACCTTGTTCTGCTTTTGTGACCCTCATTGACCGCCTAGCGGGAATCCCAGGTGTCATTCGACTGAAACAAAAAAGTAATTATTTTATTAATTGCTTTAATGGAAATAATAAAATACAGTAAATCAAAGAAATAATCTTAATGAGATTAATGAATCAATGGGTTGATTTCTGGAAATTTAATGAAAATAATAATTTTTATAATAATGTGCATATAAAAAATTCTTTTCCCTGTATAACAGATGTAAAATTAATATATTATTTTTTTTGCACATAATATATAATTATAATTCTAAACAAAGGGAAATCGAACTTACAGATTCTCTGCAGAGCTAGCTTTGCTTGAGTTTTTGGAGAGGGAGCCGACACTCGATGTTCCACTTGCTTCGCCCTGTAAGCCCCGTTGCTTTGAAGTATCTAAACTATTAAAAAGTTTATCCCCCGCTTGTTTGAAATGCTCTGAAAATTTCCAAAATGCCCTGAAAAATAAAACATTAATTTTAGTCAGATAATTGCTTGTTGTAGCTGCTGATTCCACATGTTTTCCTTCTTTCTCTTTTCTTCAGTCCTTTCCCTCACTTGATTTAAACACAGATCTCCGGTTGGCGGCGATGATGTAACCCCATACTTCGGTTTGGGTGCTAGCTTGGTGTTTGTTTGTTTGTTGTTTTTTTTCCGGCTTTTTTCTTTGTTGTCTTGACTACAATATTGTCAAGCGCATAGAGACCTCGTTTATTTGCGCTATATAAATCCATCTATTGTTATTATTATTATTAGTATGAATTGGAAATAAACAACATTCATTAAAGTCGGAAGATCTTTGTAATGGCAGTAAATTTTACATTACAGTAATATTCTTGGGATTGTGGAGCTTCCTTTCTTAAGCCCAGCGGTGGCTCCAGCATTTTATAGACAATAAAAGAATCCCCCCTTGCTGGTGGAAGAGAAAGAAAAAATAAATATAATAATGCTCATTAATCATCCTGCGTTTTAAATCTCTGAACTCACTTCCTAGAGGTGGCTCTTGCTTCCGAGTCGGGATCCTCAATACCTCTACGAATAGCCTCTGATAACGCACCAACATGCCTTTCCATGGAGTGCGTATCCCAGGTGGATACAATTGTTAGAATGAATAAACAGGTGTTTCTGTAAAAATAAATGAAATAAGGTCACATTTGGTGAAAACCACAACAAACATTTTGAAATATATAAGATGTTTTTACTTGCCAAGACTCCATAGGAGCACTTGAGCAGGTCCCTAGACCCCACGCTGAATGACCTGATACACAAATGGTCCTAGCCACAACCCTCTACCCATGTATTGGAAAATTGGTGGCGAATTTGGAGGTCCTATTAGGAGACATATTTGTTTTATTGAGGTTTGCAGTGGAGATGTAGCTTGGTGGCTTAAGGTGCTTGCTTTCCAAGCCCAGGGTCTTGTAATAAAATTTTTCTCATGACAAAAAAAAAACAAAAAACCTTCACTCCCTAAAGCTCATGAGTCATGATGAGACTTACTATATAAAACATAACTAGACTTGTGACAGAACAAGAAATTGATATTGAACTAAATATAGAAATTATGAATTACAGAGGCTGCTATTTTACCATAATGAACACAATAATACACAGTTACTTACTTTCTAATTGCAGTTGATTTTGAAGTTGAAAAACCAGTGATTATCGGTATTAACCTATGCCCATGTGTGTGCTGCAAGCAGAGAAAAAAAAACATTAATAAATAACTAACTATATTCAAGTTCCTTTGCCGATGATACTACCACATTTTATTCTAATAACTTTGATTTATTGTTTAACACATTTAATTCTGAATTAAGCAAGATTAGCAATTGGTTCATTACAAATAAATTATTAATTAACACAACTAAAACAAATTTCATTATATTTCACAGTCGTGGTGTTCGTCATAAACTTAAACACAAAATATGTGATGTTTTTCTAAATGGCAAACGGATTGATAGAAAAGTGAAGTATCATTTCTTGGTGTTTTAGTTCATGAAAACTTAAATTGGTCTAGCCATCAACAAAGTGTAGCAAATAAAATCTCAAAATACATTGGTATAATAAGCAAACTGAAACATTTCTTTCCTCTAAGTATTTTAGTTTCTTTATACAATTCGTTTATTTTGCCCCATTTATTATATTGCAACATCATTTGGGCCGCAGACAGACTATCCCTCGAATTTACAAAGAATTCTTATATTACAAAAATGGCTTGTTCGGTTAATTACATCTTCACCATTTAAAACTGCATTTGAACCTCTATTCAAAAAACTTAACATCTTAAAAATTAGTGACCTTCATAAACTCCAGATTACTTATTTTATGTTTCAATATCTCAATCTTACAGTATTAGAAATCCAAATATATTACAAGTCCCTTTTGTTAAACTTACTAAGAGTCAATTTTTATTACATTTTCAGGTCCCACCATATGGAATAACCTAGATAAAGATATTATTATAAATTGTAAATCCCGGAAATTCAAAAGTCACATGAAAACAATATATTTATTTAAGTACAGGTCTTCTGATTGATTTGCGCTAACACTAATTATTTTTCTCCATTATCTATTTATTTATTTTTATTATTATTATTATTATTTTTAAAAAAAAAATATTTTAGGGGTCAATATGAGACAAGTTCTACTTCTGGTTTTGATCCCTGTGATGGTCTAATTTCACATTTTTTTTTTTTTTTTTTCACCTACAAGTCTAATAAAATCAAATTTTGTTATTTTAAGAATATAATAATTTTTCATATGTATGTTTTCTTATGACCATTACGAAATAAATGTTACTGAGAGAGAAAAGTTAACTAATTATTTAACTATAACTTAGTCACTCAGTCATATTTATACCAGGGTATTTATAGCAAGAACACAATAACCATTAATAAATTAAATAATTAACTATTGTTCTCAATAAGACATTAATAAATAACTAACTAAATTCAAGTTAACTAATTATTCAACTATGATTTAGTCACTCACTCATATTTATACTGGTCAGTGTATTTATAGCAAGAACACAAGCAGAGAAAAAAAAACCCATTAATAAATAACTAACTAAATTCAAGTTAACTAATTATTTAACTATGATTTAGTCACTCAGTCATATTTATACCAGGGTATTTATAGCAAGAAAACAATAATTAATAAATTAAATAATTTACTATTGTTCTCAATAAGCATTTTGGAGCTTTAGTGACAAGTGAGAGAAATCCCGGAAGAACCAGATTGAACCGACATTTCTAATATTTTTCCTCAAATTTTTCTTACTACATATTTATGTACAAGAAGGTACATACATATGAACTTATAATTGTATAGCAAGTCCAATCTCTAAGTCCCCGTTTCAATTCCCATCGCTGCCTCTCCTTGTGTTTCAGCTGGAGGACTGAAATACAAGTTACAATAGCGCACCGTCTTTCGGATGAGATGTTTAAGCCGTTGGTCATGTGTGCATTTATGGCTTATGTGCACGTTAAAGAACGCAGTACACTCTTCGGAAAAGAGTAGGGGATTGTCTCCCGGTGTACTGCCCAATCACCACCAGAAGGACCCCACTGGAAGTAAGTCTTCTAGACTTTCGTGAGATATCCTTGGTGTTACACTGAATAAATCTAATCTAATCTAAAGTCCTTTATATCCTACTAGACTGTATAAATTATGGCGGGTTATTTTCTACCATAAAATTTAATGTTTTTTATTAGGAAATTATTAAATAATTACAGAATTTCTGGTAAAATCATAAAAAATATATAAAAGTTGATATTATAATAATGTGTACAGCCAGTAAAATGCTGCATATAAATCCTGCATGTTGCTACAGGATTTTTACACTTCAATGGATGAATGGTTAGAATTTACAATGAAATTAGGATGCAATAGAGGTTATAACGCACCTTAATTATTAGATTGATACAAACTAATCCAGATGTGGACATTATCTTTGCACTATTCTGTAGAAGTAGAAACAAGGTCGGTAACACAGACTCGGCAGCATGTTCAAAGGAACGACCCAGCTTGGAAGATAAAAACCTGCAAATAAAAAAATATACAACAAATATTAAGAGTAACTAAATAAATCTATTTTGATTTAGTCTATAAAAAAATAAAACAATTGTGAGTCCATTTTGTATGTTTTGGTACCATGAACAGGCTTTCTAGATACATTATAAACTCACTCCATCCAACAGTTGTCAGCCGAGGCGATTCTACGTAAAACGCAACACCACAACGCATGCGCAATGGATAATTTTTTAATAAGGATCCGTTCAGAATGCAACTAACAATCAGCAGAAGGCGCCTGGCTAAGACTTCAGTCTTGCTCAACAATCTGTGGCCAGAGAACTTTTAAGTCCTTGCAAAAAACATTTCTTTCCTAAAAGGTAAAGTATACTTCATTTGTATATTTTTTACTGATTTAATCATGTCCATAAGTATTGCCTGCTCTGTCTTTTGGGGCAACTATCTTGGTCGCAGACTCCGAGCACCCTGTTGTCTGTGGCAGGGCAAATGTGAAACCTGCTCCTTTGTTTGCGTCACCTAGGTACAGGTCCAAGATTGCATAAGAGTAGAGATGGAAATTTAGACTCCATGAGAATATGCACTGTTTCTGCTTCTCACAAAATTGCAATACCACCTTCAGAACATGATAATATTTTAAATACTAACAATATTATTGACGACACAAAAATTAACAAATTAATATTTTAAGTACATACGCTAATGTGATACAGGCCTCTCGCACGACCTGTGACCTAAGATCTTTGGCTGACATTACGAGGGAGTCCTCCATGAACCGAAGACACTGAGTGAAGCAGTCATAACCTTTTGCGCCCGCTATCACAAGTCCACGAATTTTCTTGAGCTGTTGATGATGTGAAACAAATGAGTGATGCAAAAATGGATTTATATATTTAAATCTTTTTATATAATGCTTTCAAACACCTTTAATATATTTGTTTGTGTGCATAATTTTTGTATATTTTTTAAAAATGTTAATTCATGTTTCCAAAAACTTGAGTATTTATTCTTAAAGAATCTAATTTAGACAATTATGTTCTTTCAAAAAAAAAGATAAATATTTCTATTTAGGTCGGATCAATTATTTGAACTGTGAGTCATTCTAGTAACTACGTGGCTAAGACAATAAAAACAGTAATTATTAGTTATTGGAAATGATAACTATTAATTATGTAGTTGTACCTTGCTGGTTAAGATACCTACTTTCTTCTGGGTGCAAATCGGTGAGGCACCTGCAGGGGTTCAAGGGAAAGTACGGCACCTGCCATCTGAGACCCTGGACCCTTTGTTGGAGAATAAGCCAATCACTTCGCCAGGAAACACTGCTTTGAAAATGCATTTCTTACAGTCTGATTGCCATTTTCAGGCATCTAGAGTTGCTTGAAACTTGCTCCAGCCTTGGTAGGGCTGAGGTGGGTATGGACCCTCTGTCGGGGTCATGGACCTTTTATCAGGAAACTTGGGACCCCTTGTAGGGGAATCTTTGGTGCTAGCACTGGTTCATATTAGAATAAATAGCAGACTCTAATCTATGACTAAAGCATTGCAATAAATTAAAAATAAATACTGTAATAAATATAAAATAAATATTAACTTACAGCATTACACCTCTGCTCCCAAGCATTTTTGTCATTGTTTAGAATACTGGTAATACTATTAAATTCTTCTTCTAAGGATTTGGAACTAAAAATCTGAAAAAAAAAACACCACCAAAAATAGTTGTGTTTATTTAAATATGGCTTGCATTTATAATACATGCATACAAATTATGCTGAGCAATGTAAAAGAAATAAAAGATATAGCAGATGCTGATAAAAATTACATTTGTACTAACGAAGCTGACTGCCAGTTGGTGAAACTGTTTACAACTACAAAAATAGTAAGCATACTAGTTTTACCAAAAAAAATATCCTAGATAATAAACAGAATTCTATAACAAATTACTAATTCATATTCTTGAAGTTACACTTTGCTTATTTTCTTTTGTTAATCTGATATTTCACTCTAAATCTATGTCCCAGATTATTAAATTTTCTTTGAAAAAAAAAATGGTTGTGTATGCCCATATATAGTCATGATGTGCCTATATATGGTCAGGATGTGATGTCATCATTACCATATTAAGCATGTCACATGTATTTGTGAAATAAAATTTGATAGTCTGGACAGATAAGAATGTTCTTAGAATTTAGTTTGGTAACATCTTATATTCTCTGTTCTAAAAGGGTTGATGTTGATTGATCTGTACATAAAGCGACAAGCTAAATTCTCTCTGATGTGTGTACAAAGTTCGTTAATATCCACTTGATGTACACTGGCCACTGGATTGTATTCAGGTTTCTTCATTTTCTGCTCTTTAACACCTTGAACAATTAATTAAAATCTTATATTTTATTATTATTATTATTATTATTATTATTATTATTATTATTATTATTATTATCTTGTTAAAAATAGTTGTAGGATTGACAGATTGGTAAAGTTTACACTTAGCAAAACAGTTGTACAAGTAAACACCATATTAGGTAAAATTTTATCTTAATACAATTTACAAGAATGACTATTTCAAATTGAACATTTTATTTTTGGTCTTGGAGCATCTGCTGCCATGAAAAAATTGAAAACTTTGTAAGTTATTTTTAATCCTACCACCACTTTCAAGAACACAGTCTTCTTATACCTTACGACACAAGGTATACCAAAGTCTTAACTTGCTCAAATGCCATATTTGTAAGGATGTTATCAACATTTTTTTTATAAATGAAGTAGGGAGTTTCCATATGGATAATTTCAATATACTGTAACTTGCCTTACCAAATATCATTGGTAACTTTAATAGAACACAGACTAAACATCCATTTGATGAAACTAAACAGCTTGTCAGACAATAGATACATCAATATATGCTGCATGTACACTGTGGACTTAGTCATATGGCAAACCAATGACATTTAAACAGATTCTTCTTAATAAGGTTTTTTATATTAGGCCTATTTTAACCATTTATCAAAATAAAAATATATCATGTTTTAATATTTAATTTCGAGAAGGATATCTAAGTAATAAATAAAGTCCTAATATTTGAGGTTACAATGAAATAATTTTTGGAGTTCATTGCTCATTATTTACGCTCAACTTGGAGTACTTACGGATACATTAGGCACTTCTTCATATGCATCTACAAAAAATTCTTCAGTTACAGCCCCTGAAAAAAAAAACAAATCTGTTTCACAAGGCCTAAACATTATATATATTTTTTTCAAAAGCTAAATTTAATCATACACTACATCTCTCTGCACAGGAGCAAAAATCACATAATTCTGAGCACTACCATAAAAGGAAATATTATAATTAAATGATCAAACTCAATTTCATTATTATTTGTTGTTCTATGACACATATCATCTCAATTTAGAAATTCCATTTTTGCATCATCACTCATCCAGTTACAGCATGTCTTTACTGATGATTTCCGTTGGATGTGATTTTAATTGGGGTTCAATTATTTCTAGAAGGTCCAACGTCAGTTGTGGGATGCGGAAGATTCATCATCAATATCTATTCTTGTAACTTCCTGTTTGTACTTCATTAAATCTAGATATTTTAATAATTCTGAAAATTTCTATGTACTTAAAATGACAACAGTCTGGTACAAGTTGTTGTCTAATCTAAAGAATGTGAATGTGAATGTGTCGAGAGAAAAATAAATTCAATGCAATTCTTACAGAATGAGGGACTCTAAAATTGATTGAATAAAATCCTTTCAAACCCTAAAATTGAGGGGTTCTGTGCTGCCCTGAATCCACACACTCATTTTTCAGACTCTTTCATTACTACTACTATAAATGTCACAACAAACTATAACAACCACCATTGCAAACATGTTATAATCTTAATCATCATTATCATCTTTTTAAACTTCATCATATTTGTCAATATTAATAAATCACTGCGATCTGCAAACTCCATAATTTTCACCAATAATAATAATCATCCTTCTCATTGTCGCCATAGCTGCCACTACAATGCCTTTGTTTGTCGTCACGGTCATTATAACCAATAATCAACATCATCCTCCTCATTGTCGCTATAGCTGCCACTATAAATGCCCTTGCTGTCGTCATTATGACAAATGATCATTATATCATCATAATCACCCTAGCACTCAATGATTATCAAATATTATATCATTCATTTCTAATCACGAAAGGCACCACCAACCTGCGGAGCCTGGCCGACTTCCAATTTTCTTCCCAGCTGCCGACGCACTTCTTTTGACAGTGGTAGATTTGTGGGAAGCCTACAGAAAAAGATTTGTAGACAATAAACAACTTGAATCAACAGTTAAACAAAAAAATAAACACAACTCACCAGTTAATGAGATATGGACTTGAATAAAATAAAAAAACCACCTTGAATACACCAACTAGTCTGAAGTCATTTAAATAATTTTATCATACAGTATTTTAAAAGTAAGATAAGTATCATGCAACATAGATAAGATTGAAGATGTAAAAACAAATTTGATACTTTAATTTTTTAATACTTCTGAGGGGAAAAATGCAATAATTTCAAGAAAATATTATATAATTATTTCACAAACTGATGGTTCCATTAGTTGTGAGGGATGTTCTTCTCGTAAAGAGGGAATTGGCATATGTCGGTTAATCTGTGTATTCGTGGAACAGACAGAGGTGATTCCTACGGACACATGCAGCCTCTACCGTTGACCTGTCCTACTTCGTGTGGAAGGTTAATTGCTTTCTACGAGGAAAGAACGAGCAGCGTACTTGCTGTCAAAATAATAATGTTATTGCCAAACTATGGCTTTTTATAGCAGGCTATCAGCACAGGTCATTGAAAAGCAATACAATATTATAATATAATTAGCTCACATAATATAAATTGTAAAATTTTGAGGGCACTTTTTTAAAATATTGTCCTGAAGAAGTTTACTATTAACTAAAAAATTTACAAACAAAAATAAAGCTAATAATTTTTTTAGAAGACAAATATATTAAAATGTTTTTGATAGGAAACCATTCATTTGTGGCATCATTACATTCATCTGTTAATTCTGATCCCATTCAATAATTAGAATATATGCTAATTAGTAATAACCAAAATAAGGGGAATCATTATGGTAATTTTGTAAGACTATAGGGAATGGGATAGCATGATAATTTTAAAAGGCTATGAAATTTTGAAAATGAAATAGCTCCTGATAAACTGAAATTACAAATGTAATTTCCTAAGGGACAAATAAAATTGATTTGATTTCTGTATTTAATGCTGTAATAACAATCATATTGCACTGAACACCTTTATATGTGCCTCACACCCAAAAAACCGATAAAAAGAAAAAAAAAAAATAGATCATGTCTTATCCACCAACACTGAAGGAAGACAGTAGACTGAGCTTCAGTGATTTTCACCTTTGGTCAAGCCGTCGATTGTACTGAGTGTACTAATTTTAAGGACAAAACTATCTGATAGTTGAAAGTGAAAAATGTTTCTTCTTAGAGTTAAATAAGGACACCATCAATCAATGAATAGTAACGTAATAAAATATAAATAATTATCAAATTATGTCATGGGATACAATGGATTGGGTATAAAACGGGGTAAAAAGGGAAATTTATGCCAAGAAAAAAAGGATAAAGCAAGAAATTATTTCCAATATGACTGATAAAAAAAAGAAAAGAATAAAAGACTAGAAATAACAGAAACATTTCTACAAGACAAAAAAAAGTAAACAAATATGAAAAAAAAGTAAATTTTTAATCTACAGAAGTTTATTTCAAAATATTCAGAAGTCCTTTGTCCCATCATAATTTTAAACAATTATACTAAACAATTGAAATTTGACCCTCAACCAAGTTTCTCACCTCATGTCTAAGTATCTCTGCACGCGATGGTGGTAAGGGTGGTTTTAGACGCGTGTACACGCACTGCCTCTGCACGTTTAATCATGCAAAAGTTGTGTAAAGTAAATATTTCAGTTGTGAAATTGTTTTTGGAAAGGCAAAAGCAATTTATGTGGCTCTTAGTCTCAATCAATATATTATGACTTGATCAAAGTATTTATATCAAAGTATTAATTTATGCCATCTATAGTCATCCCCTAAAATGTTTATCTTAAAACCCAAACTCAACTTAAAGACATATTGTCTGCACTGACCAGATAATTTAAAGGAACCACATTCAATATTTAAATTGCTTTACCTGGTATATTTAAATAACTTATGTTTTATGTTCAAAGTATTAATTTATACCATCTATAGTCATCCCATAAAATTTTTATCTTAAAACCCAAATTCAACTTAAGGACATATTGTCTGCACTGACTAAATAATCTGAAGGAGCCACATTCAATATTTAAATTGCTTTACCTGGTACATTTAAATAACTTATGTTTAAATTAAATATTAAAAAGAAAAGAATTAATTGTCATTTAACATCTATTTTCATTCTTAGTAGAGACTCTTAAATTGGTTTGCCGGTTAAATGAATTAAAAGATCTTTTGTTGAAACATCTCAAAATCAGCAAAATGTCCATCTGTTGTCAGTAGGAATCCCAAAGCAGTGACAATGCCAAACAAAAAATGTTTGAATAATAATAATAATAATAATAATAATAATAATAATAATAATAATAATAATAAATACAGAAAGTTGATTATTTTTTTTTTCATTCTTTTCAATGTACTTCTCAATGTTTTTATTGACTTTTTGTACATATTTAAATTAAAATGATTTATTATTATAGATGTTCATGCTTCAATCAATCATCCCATCCTCAAAATGCCACTCCTTATATGGTTTCCCCCTGCCAAAGTGAGAAATTTGAAAAAAATAATATATCTATATTGAGTTTCCAAGTAGCATACTGTACATTTTTTTTTTTGGTTCATCAAAATATAACAATCCTAAGATTTTAATTTTCTATGGAACACACTTGGGCTACAATAGAAGTACAAAATCAGTGAAATTATAATAAATAAAAATATTTTAAAATAGAAGAATAGAAACCAAATTGTGTAAAGAGATGTTGAATACCTATAAAAACATTTTTGTATTATATACAATTTGTGTTGTGTATACTCTGCATAACAATCAGCTCCTGTAATTGAATAACTTTAATGTTTACATTACACAATAATACCAAAATGATCAAGTCAATTACACGTCACCCTAATATGACTGGAAAACTGCAATAACAGGGTCATAGTTCAAATGGATCTTATTTGCATAAATTAATAATAGTTAAAAGCAGTGGTGAGTATCACATCAATGTGAAGTTTGAAAGCATGCATTTTACTGTTAATATGCTTATGAAGCTCACCTCATTAAAAGCAGCCACTGCTGTGGTTTTTTTAAGCATTGGTGTCACCCTAGAATTCCAAGGCTTTCGCTATACAGTACAGAAACAACCAGCATGCACACATGTGTTAGATATGACAAAATTAATAATGAACACACGAGGGCAGCAGATTTGGTGATAATTAGCATTCTGACCTGGGCATCTTTGTAGTCTATGTGCATCATTGCATGCGCTATTTTATTTATTTATAAGCTTTTTAAAAGATTAAGCAGAACTGATCTGGGCATAATTTCAGTGTGCAATCTGGTTATATTTTCAAGGCTAGATTTTAAATACCTTGTTTTGCAAACTTTATTTAATACAAATTAATAATAGAGGATGCCCCTAGGCCCTTGCTTTAAAGTCAATTACATGGCCAAAAAGTAAATGCTGCTAATTAAATTAATGTATTTGCGAAAAAAAAATTCTTTTTGAAAAATGACTTGGTAACAGTGAGCATAATAAAATTAAATAAATTCCACTCCGCTCCCAAAAAAAATTTCCATTGCCAAAAGGCAAAAAATAAATATTTTTCACAAAACAAGGAATCAAAATGTGTGTGTGTTTTTAAATATATTTAATTGGCTTGTGCAAATTAGTATAAATGCATTATGTGCACACTTATTTTATGAGTGCAAGATTCACATGTTAACTAAAATATGTGGCAAAAAAAATTTTGAGCACATTCATTCATTAATGCCCTCTCAAAATGTAAACATGCTCAGGTCTCCACTCCATGACTGATGATAATGCAATGCCTGGCCTTATTAAAATTAGAACACTGTTGGCAAGTGATGTATGCACAACTGTGTAGTAAAGTATACCATTCATTTTGTTCTGTACATTTTCCCAAATGATCAGCTCAATGTAGAATGTACCAGTCTCACTAAAACAATGTTGGAATTATATAATTACTATATAATACATTATTATATTTGTATTAAATAAACTATCAGATTACCACGTTTAGAGTATTCATTTCATGGTGGATTGAGTTTTCCACCAACTGATCTGATTACTATCAAGTAGTATTTATCCCACGGTTTCAGATTGAATATTATCACCAAATGCAGTAAAAAAAAATTTAATATACACACACAATAATAATACTAAACAATATTTGCATCACACATGCAGTTTTCATATAAAATAAGCAATCTTCAACAAGCGATTCATTTTATTATAGGACTATATTATAAGACTATAAAAAAAAAGCTATATGTTGATCATTGCTTATCTTCTACAATTATATCATGATAAAATCAAACACGATGAAAAAAATAAATGTCTTTTTTAGGGAAAAATTAAATCCATTATTTGATAATATCAATTGATCCTGTATTCAATAGTCTGTGTCCATCATACAAAATGCTATAGAAGATAGTACAGACAATCTATTGTTCCAAATTTATGGAAATAATAAAACAGGTGTAATAGTGTCTGTGTGTGTACAGTAACATCTCCCAATCATGTACCTTTCTGTTTCAACATCATTTTGTAATTAAGAGAATTCATAATTCAGGAATTTCAAAATTTTCAAAGAACAAGGCTCTATGCTATAGAAGGGAGGTCCTTGTACAGACGGCCTGAAGGGTACAGATCCCCCCACCCCAAATCAGAAAAGATCCATATATTTAAGACAGTTGAGAATGTACTTATTTAATTTATTTTCTGTAATTTGGCCCCTTAACCCAGCCGGTCCATATTTCCACACTGCCACATCTTGCCCATCCCCCAATGGTAATCCTGAACATGGCCCAGCAGGGATAGGAAGTTCATAGTTGGAAGATGTTAACTGTAAATTCTGCACTGATGTAATTACAGTAAGTGTGACCCAAAACATAGTGCTTCATAATTTAAGTGATTAACTGCCTATCAGCAGCATGATTGAGGGGGGCAATCAAAATTAGTATACATGTATAGTTCTACTAACTGCCGTTAAAATTAGCATCCATGTAGCGGCTTAGCATGAGCTTGTTTCAAGGCATTATAACGAGCCTATGAGATGTTAATAGCAATATTAAAAGCAGGTTAGCTTTGTAACACTACAAATGACAACACACACACAATCTACTTTCATGATTACATGTTATATACTGTAGGACAAAAAAATACTGATGAAAACTATGTTTTCTATGTTGCTACTTACTGAAGGTTTACTGTCTGATTCATCGCTAGTCGCTGCTTTAGGTGCTGAAAAATATAAAACATATTTGAATAATCATTGGTCTGTGAATTATTTAGAAAGAAAATCCTTCTAATCCTCATTATAAAGCTCAGCAGAACAGATGTCTGATTACAAAGATACAGTAGTTTGTTACAGTAACTCAGTTGACTAAACTGGTTGTAGTTCACTGTGAGGTATTACAATGCTGAAATGTACAATACTTCGAATGACATATTCCTAAGCATCCTCAGAAGAGCGCTTCTCTGCATTAATTGAGACATTTAAGTGTAGACACTTACTTCACTAAGTTCACAAAACTTGTGCAATTTTATGCAACTGGATTTTATTCGCAAAAATTACAGATGAGTGCAAAAACAGCGTTTTCTATAATATTTTACTGTTTGTAGGCATTATGCTTTCCTACATACATGTTTACAATTCAAGTAACCATTTCCAGATGACAAGAATGGCCCTTAACACTTTCAAAATATTTTGTATGTACTGTACTTCTTGACTTGCAGTAGTTATGTTATAATTAATGCACATTTGACCTAGGTAGGCACTGTATGGACAAATGTGCAAATATTATTGTACATCTGTTGTGAATTTTCTTCGGATGGAACTTGAAGGTTGTCTGAAGATGCCTAATTTTAGAAAAAGAGTAGAGGTTTGTTCCTGATGTACTGACTATGATCACTACAATATGTACTTTTCTCCAGAGCCTAGAACAGGATGTGGATCTTGTGGGTATTGGCAATGTTGAAGTGGCTTTACTCATGATAGTAAAATATAAACATCTTTTTTTGTTGATGATACAACACAAGCATTTTAGATCTACTGCACATAGGCTTTAGTAAAAAAAACATAACAAAGACAATATAGTCCTGTGTGAACCTAGAGTAATACAGTAATGTTTTAATTCGCATAGGATCCTGATGTCACCATGCATAAATCTTAGTAAAGCATTTCACACCTAAATATTGCTATTTAATACATTTCAACATATTTTCTGGATTGGACTGGATTGATTTGGTGTAAACACCAAGAATAACCCACAAAGGTCTGAAGAACTTATTTCCAGTGGGGTCCTTCTGGGGGTGATTGGGCTGTATACCGGGAGACAATCCCCTACTCTTTTCCGATGAGTTACTGCTTCTTGAACATCCACATGGGCCAAAATGCACATAGGACCAATGGCTTAAACGTCTCATCCAAAAGATGGTGAGCTATCGTATCTATTTTAAAAATATTTAATACTCTACGCTCAGTCCATATTATCAAATTTTCTTTGACAAAAACTGTTGTATGACCATATATAGTCATAATGAGCCTAAATGGTCATGATGTGATGTCATCAATACCATATTTAGGCATGTCACATGTGTTTGTCAAATAAAATCTAATATTCTGGACCAGGTCCCAAAATTTTTATTCATCACAGTGACAGTACCATTAACCAGACTTACAACCTTACAATTAAGTACTAAAATATATTACACAATTAATCCAACATGAATACATAATTGATGGGATTAAACCACCTTCACTATACCCTAGTGAATGATGCTGGATTTATAATCTTATTTCTAAGGCTCGTGCAAAGTTGTTATTTCCAGGTCAGTAGATCGTGATGAAGATTTGCTATTCAGTAAACTGCGAAGAATTCCCAGTTCTTACTTTCATTATTGATCGCAAATTTCAACAACACATACAAGAATTATGAAACTACCTTTAGGAATATTAAAAAAAAATAAATAAAGCTTGAATTTGTTATAGTTAAAAGTCTGCAGACTTTTCTACTTCATCCAACAACTGGTGACACATGTTTAGATGAATATGAACATAAGTTTCATTTTGAAACTTCATTCAATAACAAAGACCATGGCAGAATTGGCAAAATAGCTGTCTGCGTCAAAACATCACAGTAGCTGGATAATTTGACAATTTACATTAATACCATAATTCTTTGGGTATAAAGCCCACCTCAGGTAAAAGCCCATCTGTTACTTTATGCCAACACATGTACAAGCCTTTCTTCGGGCAAAAGCTGGGGTATGATTTGAATGAGTAGCTTAGCTGATTTTTTTTTTACAAATGTTTACAAAATTTGTCTTTTAATTGAAAAGGAGATTTCCGGTTGTTAAGCCCAGCCCACCCCCACCCCAACAATTGTCCTAATTTTGTGTTCAAGGGGATGGGCTTACACCAGAGGAACTACAGTAAAAGTAAAATATAATACGGTTTTATTTTCATGTATCTTATTGCTAATGATAAGGTTTCATGGGTGAAATTGTTTCAAACTTGTATGTCTTGATAAATGCAACGTACAATAACTAGTCACAAGACTTTAGCAGAAATTGTATATTATTTACAGTATATGATTTTTGAAATAAAGTTTATATATATATATATATATATATATATATTCAATCTTTTCAAAGCCAGTAAGGAGATCATTTTGGACCGTTTTTATATATAATCAAAGTACATTTGGCTTGAAAAGTGGACATAATTTGGATCCTAGAAAGAAGATCATTTTGAACACTTGATGCTTAAACTCATGTATCTCTTTATGGGGATTGGAGAGTGGTGATGATCTGATCATTTGGGACCCTACATACTAACCAATTTTCCTTAATATGAGACATCATGGGTAGGCACTTATAAGAGTCTTTTATGCTATAACATTTCACCAAATTTTCTTAAGGCTTTTGGAGAGTGGATAGTTGATAATATGCTTTATATACAAAGTCATCAGAGAATGGATAGCAGGCCATTTACTGTATGAGCCATAACCAAGTAACTGTATATAAGTGGCTTAGGGAGAGAACAATTGTTGGCTGGCAGAAAACTTAAATTCTTAGGATTGAACCTTAAGACCTTATAATTGAAAGGTGGGTAGTATAAACATCTAGTCACTTCAATTAAAATTTATTATTTTTCTCACAGCCTAAAATTATTCCTATTAACAACAGCTCCAAATATTTTTCAGCATACTGTATTTACTTTTATTTACAAAAAAATTCTCATCCTATTGTAATTAACTCCCTATCCTCCTAACATTTTCCCTTCCTATTTATCTGTTTGGTGTTATCTTTATTTCTGATTCTTAACAATAACATCTAGCTCAGATCAAATGTTAAAACTTGTAATGTGACCTATCAGTGAGAATAAAGTACTAGTATTTTATCAGATTTATTTGTACAATCTTTATGATTTCCATCCTGCTAATTGTTCTGAGACAAATTTAGAATAAGATGGCAATAAAAATGAAAAAAAGAAAAAAAAGAAAAGAATATAAATGTTTGTAGTACCCTGCACATCGTATGATAATGAACATGGCAGCGGACCAGCGGCAGAATTAGATATTAGAATACCAGCATATAATTATAGTACATATGCCGGTAATAATATCTTCCAACGTCCACCCATGTATCCATGTCGATTCTATGTCATATCCATGTCACGAACAATACAATGGTTTGTGTCTGAGGTCTGTGATACTTACTAATGCCTTACAATGGCGGCATAATCAAAAGCAGTATCTTTTACACAAAGGAACATTTGTTAACCCAGTTTCTAGTAGCCTACAGCTTTGGTTTCTTCAGTAGCAATAGACTGTTTGAACCACATGTAAATAATAACATCTGACCTAGATATGAAGATTTCATTCTGTATTTAAAATAATTATTTTACATTTAACAGTATATAAAAAAATATTTTTTATTTAGAAATTTAACTTCCTCCTTTCTTTTCCACTACCACCTTCATTGTAATACGAATTATGGCAAAGTAAGAGTGTACAGCTAACGAAAAGTAACAGATACGAGAGAATTATTCATTAAGATCTTTTACTAACAATTACATTCTGAAAGGTATTTATTTAATAGTTTCTTTAATATGGTAATTCTGAGCATTTGAAAATGAAAACAACAAAACCACGCCAACATCCCACTCACAGTTACGCACGAACGTTGTGACAGACACCAAAATAAACAAACCACTTACATAACAATCAATATTTTGATTACTCACAGAGGTTCATACGATTGCTTGTTATTAATTTTTCTTAACGTGTTTCCAAATCTCATTTCAGTGAATTAATGCATTAGGATATTACTACCTATGCCTCAGTCAAGAGGACACATTTAATATGAAGATACTTAAGCAGCGTACTTGTAATACACAATTCCACAATAGGAAATGTACTCAATTTTAACACAGCTGTTTTGAATTCCCCTACCAAAATATGTAATAAAAAATTTAAAGACCTTAAATATTTAACGTGAAAACTTAAGAGTTTATTCCAAATAAAGAATCACTATCTGCAAGGTATCGATGCTTGTGTATGAATTATTAGTTTCCACACAAGTTATAGGCCTACAGTAGATATTGATTACTGCAAGATGAAAGAGACTCAAAGATTCAACCTCTGTACTAAATCTAATTAAGCTTAAATTGTGCGTGCTCATAGCCTTTTTCATTGTGACTGTAAGCATACAAATTGTGTATTGTTGTCATGGCAGTTGTTATCATTATTCACTACCATCTTCTTCATTACTTATAACATCATCACCATGTATTAACATAAAATGATCACCAAAACACAATTATCTTCATCATTTATTGTAATATGATAAATTATGATGTTGATAATTGTGGTTTTAATGATGACGTTACACACTTATCATCACCATAACTGTCATCTTCAAAGTCATCACTGTCTATCATCTTCATGTCAGTACTGTATCATCAATGTCCTTATCTTCTAAATCATTAGCATCACATACTGTACAACCTACATCAGAACCGTACTTTTCATCAAAATCATCTTCATCTTTAGAATAATCATCACCATCAAATCATCATTATATTCTTCGCTTGATATATATTTTCATGGAACCTTTTTTTAACTTTTGATGTTTTTTTAAAATTTTACTTCTGTTTTTAATATTATAAAATTGAATAAACTGCCACTTATAATTCCAAAAATGAAATTGATTTGATTAATTTTTTCACCTTTTTT